CGCCAGGGGACGACCAGCGCCGGACCACGAAATCCGCGCAGACCTTGGGAAGCTTATGTTTGTACACATGGGCGACGAAAAAGAGACGGTGTCCAATTGCGCCGACGTTGGCGCGTAAGCTCCCCGCGTAAGCTCGCGCGTAAGCTCCCTCGTCGCCAACGTGGCGTGCCGCGCGGGCGGCCCATGTAGGCCGCCGCGTGAGGTCGCTATGTCATCTCGCGTGTGGCCTGTTGTCGATCGTCTCTCAGTCTTTTCTCCGAACCCAGCAACAGATCCTGACCTTGATGTGTGGTTGCGCTTCCCCTGTTGGGCAAATCGCCAAAGCCAATGGCCCAATAATCCTTTCACCCAGTGTCTAGGCCGATGTGTCCCCCTCTGTCCTCACGAGCGGCGGACATCCGGATCGGAGCCCCTCGGGCTCCTGATAGTTCCCGTGGGCGCGTCCCACGGTCACGTTCAAGTGGAGGTCCGTTCGTGGTGGATCGCTTGCCAGCAAGAAGCGAGAAACACACAAGCGGCTATCATCGCTTGATTCTCTGTGCTACCGTTTTCTGGCAGGTTGTTCATTCCATTGTTGGAGATGTCCTGTCTGTCGCCTAGGCGTTGCAAACTGCACACAGTATCGGATGGTATGTTGCAGATGTCGCCGCGCCGTTTGTTCCGACGCGTCGCCTTACGCCTTGGGGAGGGCGCCTTGCCCACCAGGGCAAGTTCTGCCTCAGACGCAAGGTTCGCCGTGGGTTTGCCGCGGGGCTGGCTTTGAGCGCGTTTAGGACACATGGCGCGGCGACAAATATTTTTCTTTCTTGTCAGCATGCGCTTCTCATATTCATCCCCAAGGGGGAACCCCACGCACGCCATATGACGGCACGCACTTCTAATGCGAGCTGGTTGCATTGGTTTTCTCACGACGTTGATTGGCACAGATTCGTACACCTGGTTTATCTCCAGTCAACGCGCAGACTCCTCCCCTTCCCCTAGCTTGCTGTTCATTTACCATGTTCTCCTCCTCCTCCTCCTCCTCCTGTTGTTCGTTCTCGTGCTCCTCCCCAGTGTTGCCCGTTTTCTCATTTCGCATTTGTATTCTCCCAATGGAAGAAAGACAGCAGCAAAGACCTCAATCCCCGGAGGTCGCCCAGGACGATGACTTCGATACTGCCACTGGATCTTCCACAAGACCGACAAGGCACTGAGTATGTGACGTTGTCTCGTCCATCGGGAGTGGCGGGGCTGATCCCCAGGGCCTGTGGACTCGATCGCACGTGCCTCGTGCTTTCGCCTTGGGATTACACCTTGGCCTCGTCATGCAATGTTGAACCAGCACGTCGGACCGTCCAGGAGAGAGTGAAGCACTCGAGCGTGCCCTGTGACCGATGACGAAGCTCTGGGCTGCGCACAGACAGCCCCCTCAGGTAGTCCCGGCCGGCGTCAACAGGCCCCCCCAGATCTTCCCCCTGCTGTTCCAGGGTGTTCCTTGTTTTGTTTCATGCCGCGTCGCGGGTCCGCTTCTTGTTTTTGAAGTCCTAGTTTGGTTGTCTGCCTTGCTTCGGGGCTGCAATCTTTACGGGGCAACCTAGAATTCCAAAATTCCTTATGTTTAGGATTCCTTGTTGTTTTACCTCCCTGTCGTTTGGGCGGTCTCCACACCCCAACCCTGGGGCGCAGAGCGCCCCAGGGCGCCGCCGGAGGCGGCGCCCTGGGTGTCGAGACCGTCCCGGAATACTCGGGGGGGCATGCTGAGGCCAGCCCCGGACTGAGTGGCGGGGCTGTTCGCGCGCAGCCCGAAGCCTTCTCGGGGACGGACTGCCCAGGGAGGCGTTGTGCGACAGGTGCAAGCCACGGAAATGGAATGCGAAGTCGTTCGATTGCCTCCCGGGGGCGTTGCACCTATTCCTCGCGATTCGGTGTTGACGCCAGCGCGGGCGTGCAAGGCCCAGCTCCCTTCGGGGGCGCACGAGGCCAAACCCGTACGAAAGATGGTGTCGAGACTGGGGACCTCCGAGACAAGAGATCGTCCAAGGCCGACTGGCTCACGCGGTGCCAGGATCTGTGGCCAGCGCCGTCGCAGGACCACTGTCACTGCCACTGCCACTACCACCGGGAGGAGAGGTCCCGAGCAACGAGAGAAGAGGATGGGCTCCGTAGGCAGGAGCTTCCACCCCCACGCGCCTACTCTGGGCCGATCGGGGCCTGGTCCCCCCAGCACTGCCCGGGAACATAACATTTTACCTGCGAGAGCGTGTCGGCGCTCTATTTACATATTTGAGAGAAGGAGGAGGTGGAGGAGGAGGAGGAGGAGGAGGAGGAGGAGTGGAGGGAGGAGGAGGAAAGGAGGAGGAAGAGGAGAGAGGAGGAGGTAGGGAGGAGGAGGAGGAGAGGATGAGGAGGAGTAAGGAGGGGAGGAGGAGGGGGAGGAGGAGTAGGAGAAGGAGGAGAGGAGGATGAGGAGGAGGAGGAGAGGAGCGAGAAGAGGAGGAAGGAGGAGGAGGAGGGAGAGGAG